ATCTCCCTCGCCAACAATTGAGCCATGCATTACAAATAGGAGAGCATTCTTCTGCTCTCTATATCGATCCTGTTGCTGCTGCATTGATTGCACATCAGGATTACAAGCATGACATGGGCAAAGAGGTCCAGGTCAGCGTCTAGCAGAGATGTCATCCCAGGAGAAGTTCACCAGTGGTGACGCGTGTCTTGGCCAATAGTAGACATGACTAATTGAAATAAGATACTCTGGGACACAGCAGAAAAACCTTTGATACAAAAGGTATATAAAGTTTATTCATACATGCAAGTAGATGACACATTCTTCCACAGAACATTTAGTTAAAAATAATAGGTACATGCCTAGCCCCCAGTAGGGCCCAACGTACCTTGCTTAGCCTTCTACTATTTTACACCCGAAAAACCTATTTATCTTACTGGAAGGAGTTAGTTCACAAAATGATCCCATTCTATAGGGCCACCTACAGGAGCAGAAGGTGCCCAAAAAATATGACAGTGTGTGGCAAATCTGGCTAGATAGCCCCACCACCACTGCCTAATAATGTGCGCTCTAATCTAATCCTTACCCTGGTCCTGGGCTTAGTCTCCAGAAGTCCCTTTCAGATCTTTCTATGCCCCAGCTTATTGATTGTTTCTTTTCCCCTGGTTCAGAGACGACACTACATGAGTATCCTATCCTATGGGCCCAATTTATTCTTATTATATCTGGAGGGAAATTATTGCCATCTATCTCGTCTGTGGCCCACGTAGGCTTCAATATCCTGTGCGGCCAGTATCTTGCCGGATGGGGTAGCCTGGTTAGGGGGGAGGGGCTTCTTTAATGAGATACTTTGTTAGAGTTATTATTTTTTGGGTTCTGGGCCTACGAGGGTGTTGCTTATGTGATATGTGTTGTTTTATTGTCAAACTGTATCTGTTTGTTTACATATGCACAACTCAATAAAAATAATTTTATTTAAAAAAATAATGATTGGTACATACTGTATTAAACCACCTTCAAAAATCTTAGTAACACTAACGTTGGCATTTCATGTAATGCTATTTCCTCAGGCACTATTGGGTCATCGAATTTCACACAATCCCTCACAAGTTGTCAACTGTTTCCTGTCCAGTTAAATAGAGGCACATATATATATATATATATATATATATATATATATATATACACATACACTATTGGGCCAGCTCTACAAATCATTGGATTCAGGTGTTCCAATCACCTCCATGGCCACAGGTGTATACAGCCAATCACCGAGGCATGCAGGCTGCTTCTACAAACATTTGTGAAAGAATGGGTCGCTCTCAGGAGCTCAGTGAATTCAGGCGTGTTATGTTACCGTGGTAGGTTGCCACCTGTGTAATAAGTCCATCCGTGGAATTTCCTTGCTACTAAATATTCTACAGTCATCTGTTAGTGGTATTATGACAAAGTGGAAGAAACTGGGAAGCCACAAAGTGGTAGGCCACATAAAATGACAGAGGGGGGTCAGGGCATGCTGCAGCGCACAGTTCACAGAAGTCACCAACTGTCTGCAGAGCTAATAGCTAAAGACCTCCAAACTTCCTGTGGCCTTCAGATTAGCACAACAACAGTGCATAGAGAGCTTCATGGAATGGATTTCCATGGCCGAGCAGCTGCATCTAAGCCTTACATCACCAAGTGCAATGCAAAGCGTCAGATGCAGTGGTGTAAAGCACAACGCCACTGGACTCTAGAGCAGTGGAGATGTGTTCTCTGGAGTGACAAATCACGCTTCTCTGTCTGGCAATCCGATGGACGTGTCTGGGTTGGGTGGTTGCCAGGAGAACAGTACTTGCCTGACTGCATTGTGCCAAGTGTAAAGTTTGGTGGAGGAGGGATTATGGTGTGGGGGTGTTTTTCAGGGGTTGGGCTTGGCCCCTTAGTTCCAGTGAAGGGAACTCTCAAGGCATCAGCATACCAAGACATTTTGGACAATTTCATGCTCCCAACTTTGTGGGAACAGTTTGGGGATGGCCCCTTCCTGTTCCAATATGACTGCGCACCAGTGCACAAAGCGAGTCCATAAAGACATGGATGAGCGAGTTTGGGGTGGAGGAACTTGACCAGCCTGCACAGATTCCTGACCTCAACCCAATAGAACACCTTTGAGATGAATTAGAGCGGAGACTGCGAGCCAGGCCTTTTCGTCCAACATCAGTGCCTGACCTCATAAATGTACTTTTGGAATAATGGTCAAACATTCCCATTGACACACTCCTAAACCTTGTGGACAGCCTTCCCAGAAGAGTTGAAGCTGTTATAGCTGCAAAGGGTGGGCCAACTCAATATTAAACCCTACGGACTGAGGCTGGGATGCCAATAAAGTTCATGTGCATGTAAAGGCAGGCGTCCCACTGCTTTTGCCAATATAGTGCAGTATAAGGTAGTACCATTTTGGGCATTGTACTATTCCTGTTTTCTGTATACTATAAGGTTACCAGGTTTTAAAATGAAATCTGGGGAAACCCTCTGACCACTTTTAAACCACACCCACAAGTCACACCTCAATTTTCAACATGCCGTGCAACAATTGGGCAACATATATGCAGTGCACGAACCATGCTGTGGCAAATTGTGGGTGGGGTGAGATTGTGGTAATAGTGGAAGGAGCCCCAAAGGTTTTGGTTAAATAAAACCTTAACCTATTCTGCTATGGGTCAAGAGTGAGTAATGCAGAGAGTGCAGAGGTCAGGAGTGCCAACCATACAAAGTGCAGTGGTAAGCAGAATGTAACGTTCAGAGTGTAGGCGTCAGGAGCATGTAACATGCTCCTGACCCCTAGGTCAGAGGTCAGGAAGGTGTAACATACAGATTGCAGAGGTCAAAAGTAGGGTTATGGGTCAGGAGTGTGTAACAAACAGGCTAAAGAGGCCAGGAGAAAATGCACAGCGTAGGGTAATATGTGCAAATGCAGCACAGTAGTTTAAATATACTCTACCACCTTTGTAGCTGGCCCACAGCCCACATGAATATCCAGCATCCATTCCCTCCTCCTTGACTTTGCTGGGCTTTTTATGTGTATGCAGGCATCCCAAGGCATTCTCTATTCTCCCTACTGCACTGCGCACTGGCGCAGGCAGCATCCTGGCAGCCCACAAATCGCAATGCACAGCGCAGGCGACCATTCAGCATTTGCTCTCTCTAATTGGCAATCCAGATTCCAAAGTGATGCCACTGGAGTTGTCTGCGTGTGCATGGCCAGTGAGGTTTGCAGTGCATGTGCAGACAGCTCCCTCAGACAGGCCCCTCAAAAAGGAGATGAATGGCATTCTTAATCTATTGACATGCAGGTATAATTTCCTTGTTAGCAATCACTGTTTCCTTTATTAGTTTTTGTTAATTATTAACATGTTGGTGCATTAGGGCAGCTAAAAAGAGAATCTTCCTTCTCTAACCTTTGGCCACTGGGCATGGTAATGTGTGCATCATTTGGAAGAGGGACATAAAGTCCTTAGGTTTGCATACTCAGTCAGCATCATGTAGCCCATACAAATCTATGAACAGGTTAATTTTTTCCTCTCTAGTGTCCAACTTGAAAGACCTTTTTATTCTGAAACAGTATGAAAGGGGTTCAGGGTAAAGGGAAACCTGGCACAGTAGGAATTGCTGATGTTTTCCATACTGTAGGCTCAGGAGTCCCTTCCTTATAAGTAACATGACCTTTTTTGGTTGTACTTGCTTCCACTTCCTCATTCCTTGCCTAGGTAAGGATGACTTCACCTTAGTACTTGTAGGTGCTGACTTTCTCACCTTTTTCTCCTTAATTTTATGTAAAGTAGTAAACATTCATGTTGCTGCACAGCAGTGGGGTGTGTTACATTGCTGTGGGCTGACATGCAGTGCCATCCAGTGCACTGTGGAAAAAGGCAGATATGCTGCATTATACTGCTGTGCAGCTCACAGCATATGACACCAGCATTGTGTTGTGAGAGGAGCAGTGTGACGGACCGCCTGGCACCCTGCCTGGGTGCTTCTGTCAGAGAACTGCTTCTTCACCGCTGTGACACAGGACCAAGGTATTACAGCTGGGCATCGCACCAAAGGACTAGACGACACTAGCTTAGGTGAAAACTGGACCTACTTTATTGAACAGAAATACAGGTTTTTATACGTTTCAGAAATAGGGGCAGTCCCCACATGAACAATAAAAACAAATATTACACATTATGTTGAACATCCTACATTGATTAGATAATGAGGTAAAACTAACACCAGACTAATCCTATCATATAGGAACCTCCAGGTGGACTAGCCACAAACAGAAACAATAGGTGACTCAACTCAATTAGCAATGGGAGAAAGATACAGTAAAAGACATCACACCTTAATAAACAGATTACAGCAAGAGACTTCAGCATCAGGTTGTTTTGAGTTGATTCTATTAACATCAGCTTAGAGTCTCTGAGTCTAGGAGGGGAGTTGAAGCAGTTAATGCTGGTTTGAGCACAAAGACCCCGAAATCTGTATCTTGGTCCTCCAGTTCTCAGAGTCTGTGTGGTCTGGGGAGACATGGACTTGAATCTGAAGTAAATCTACACCAAAGGTCCCCCCATGCACACACCTCCAGAAGAATAGAGCCCCCTTAGATGCCAGGGCCCATAGTTAGTAGACAAGAGGCTACCCTTCAGTCCTCTCCAAAAGCCCCTGTCCCATTTGGGTCTGTCTCCAGCACATAGAAAACAAACATTTTCTGTGTTTCCTAGCAGTGACCTGTCTTTACCTAATGCGGAAAAATTCAGGTCACCACTGAGAGTGTGAATGAGTCTTAAATCCTGGTTTAAAGTGCAACTCCAACTGAAACAGTTTTTTGTTTGTTTTGGATTGTTCTGGGAAATTAGAACCTCTGAAAACATTTCATTGTAATATCCATCCCTGCTTGGGATAGTCTCCCCTCTTTCTGTCAATTTGATGGATCAGACATACATAGCAAAAAATGATGGGAACACAGCCTGTATTCAATTTTCCACCATCACAGGCACTCACAAACAATACCAGATTGTTATCTTCTCAATGATACCAAATCTCTTGAATTGGGCTATAAACTACCGTCTTGCATTTGTAGGAGGAATGGTGTATGCAGGAAGGACATTTCCCTGTACAAACTGTTACATGCTAAAAAAAACAGGAATATTTCCCTCAACCAGGGGCGGACTGACCATTTAGGCACTCGGGCACTGCCCGAGGGCCGGGGGTCAGTAGGGGGCCCCATGAGATGCCCCTGGTACCTTTCATAGGCTTTTTTAGGTGTAGTTTGAGTGTGGGCGAGGACACAGGGGCCCCATGATTTCCTATTGCCCCCATGAGTTGTCAGTCCACCCCTGCCCTCAACAAACATTTCCGGCAGCAACCAAGACCTGCATTGGGTTATGAAAATCAGGGAATTTGATAGTGATAAGAAATGTTTAAAAGGATTGTACGTATAATGGTTTGGTAAATCATTAACTTGCTATGGTCTGGATGAAATAAAATGTTTAACATATGCATATTTTGCTTTCGCCATGTGAGCCGATCGGTTGTACTTTATGCTTCCTTCCATTATTTAGTAATTCTTCATTTGCTTTTTTCATGGAAGCTGACGTAGAGCAGAGAACCATTCCCCTATCAGACAGCTTAGGCTGCCATTTCAATCACACAAACCGTGTCTCGAAGCAGAATGTGACTGCTATGCTGTGTCTATAACTAACCCACTGTGCTCCTAAAATCCATTTTTGTATTAAATGATTATTTGTAGAACAAAGATGGTATATGGACTGTATAGAAAACACATATAAAACAATAGTTCAACCACTTGCCTACCGGGCACTTTTACCCACCTCTTGCCCAGGCCAATTTACAGCTTTCAATGCTCTCACACTTTGAATCACAATTGCGCGGTCATGCAACATTGTACCCATATGACATTTTTATCATTTTTTTCACACAAATAGAGCTTTCTTTTGGTGGTATTTAAAAGCCATTGGGTGTTTTATTTTTTGCACTACAAACAAAAAAAGAGCCAAACGAAAAAAAAAAATGTTTTCTTTTTTGTTTCTATTAGAAAATTTTGCAAACAGGTAATTTTCTCCTTTACTGATGTGCGTTGATGAGGCTGCACTGATGGGCACTGATAGGCAGCACTGATGGGCACTGATGAGGTGGCACAAATAGGCAACACTGATGGGCACTGATAGGCTGCACTGATGAGGCAGCACTGGTGGGCATTGACAAGGAGGCACTGATGATGCTGAACTGATAAGCAGTAATAATGGGCACTGATGGGCGACACTGATTGGCAGCACTGACTGACAGCATTGACTAGTGGCACTGACTGATGGCACTGTTGGGCACTGCTGGGTGGCATTGCTGAGCAGCAGTGATGGGTGGCACTGATGGGAACTGGTGGGAGGCACTGCTGGGCACTGATCATCAGTTCCCCGATGATCAGTGGCGATCTGCTCTGTGACAGTTTCCGGTTATCGGCAGTACTTTCCTCATGCTGTGACAGCGTGAGGAAAGTGCAGCCGATAACCAGCAACTGTATTTACTCTGTGATCTGCTGTATCATTGGACACAGCTGATCACTTGGTAAAAGGCTGCTGTGATTGGCCTTTACCTCATCACATGATCACGGAGATCGCCGGGTGCGTACCGCTGAGGGAGTGTTCTGGGAGGACATCATATGATGCCCTCCCAGACCTGGACAACCACACTGTAGCCATCATTTGACTATAGCATGGTTGGCAAGTGGTTAAAAAAAAATTAAATTGACTCAAAACCATTAGAGGTTTACCTGTAAGGTTCAATAAATATTATCAATGCCTTACACATTCCTTTAAAGAGCTTCTGTCATTACAAAAAGAACTGCTCCTGTGGCTGAATGCCAAGCCATTATGAAAGTCAAACCTCTGAGCTTGTTTCTACTTTCTGACCCTTTGTACTCCTATTTGACAATCACTATGAAGTGCTGCTTCATTGGGTAATATACACTCACAGGTCACTTTATTAGGTACACCTTGCTAGTGCCAAGAAAATATCCCCCACCCCAATACACCACCAGCCTGAACTGCTGATACAAGACAGGATGGATCCATGTTTTCATGTTGTTTACTCCAAATTCTGACCCTACCATCTGAATGTTGCAGCTGAACTCGAGATTCATCAGAACAGGGAACACTATTCCAATCTTCTATTGTCCAATTTTGGTGAGCCTGTGAGAATTGTAGCCTCCAATCCCTCTTCTTAGTTGACAGGAGTGGTACCCGGTGTGGTCTTCTGCTGCTGTAGCCCATATGCTTCAAGGTTCAACATGTTGTGGGTTCTCTTTATCGGACCATTCTTTGTAACTCCTAGAGAGAGTTGTGCAAGAAAATCCCAGTAAATCAGCAGTTTTTTAAATCCTCAGACCAGCCCGTCTGGCACCAACAACCATGCCATGTTCAAAATCACTTAAATCCCCTTTCTTACCCATTCTAATGCACAGTTTGAACTTCAGCAGTCGTCTCCCCCCCACATCTACATGCCTAAATGCATTGAGTTGCTGTCATGTGATTGGTTTATTAGCAATTTATGTTACCAAGCAATTGAAAAGGTGTATCTAATAAAGTGGCCGGTCAGTGTAAATGTGCATGTGCCAACAGGAAGCAGGTATGCTCTTGCTTTGAATAATTGTGAAATAGTATATTTGACCAGCAGATGGCAGGCTTCATCACTCATAAAACAGGATTATTGAGTAAGAAGCATTGTAGCTCTACCACAGTAGATGACAGCCCAGGCATCTGACACTGACCAGTCTGTGTCTGCAGTTGTCAGGTGTGGTGACCCAAACCTTAGATACTGGTTGGGTTGCAACAATTTACAATTACTGTATTTTTCCTTAAATCACATCAAACAATACTATAAAATAAGTGAATCAATTAAAATAATATCAACCGATTAATAATAGTTTTACCAACCATATCCCATGTGTGTTCAACTCCAAAATGTCATATATAATTTAAAGCAGCAGCAATTTACAATTACTACTTCCTGTGGCATTGAAAGTAGTCCAAATGTGGGCAAAACATTGCCTTGGAAGCTTGTGCAATGGATGCTCTTGTATATCTAGTGCTAAAACCCCAGAGAACCTTCTCTTCCATAAAGAGATTTTCGTCAACAGTATGTAATGCTTTTTTTCCTTTTTTTTTTAATATTTTGACATACTGATGATGTGTTATGACTTCAGCACCGATCTCTCTCTGTCAATACATACAGTCAGGTCCATAAATATTGGGACATTGACACAATTCTAACATTTTTGGCTCAATACACCACCACAATGGATTTGAAATGAAACTAACAAGATGTGCTTTAACTGCAGACTGTCAGCTTTAATTTGAGGGTATTTGCATCCAAATCAGATGAACGGTGTAGGAATTACAACAGTTTGCATATGTGCCTCCCACTTGTTAAGGGACCAAAAGTAATGGGACAGAATAATATTCATAAATCAAACTTTCACTTTTTAATACTTGGTTGCAAATCCTTTGTAGTCAATTACAGCCTGAAGTCTGGAACGCATAGACATCACCAGACGCTAGGTTTCATCCCTGGTGATGCTCTGCCAGGCCTCTACTGCAACTGTCTTCAGTTCCTGCTTGTTCTTGGGGCACTTTCCCTTCAGTTTTGTCTTCAGCAAGTGAACTGCATGCTCAATCGGATTCAGGTCAGGTGATTGACTTGGCCATTGCATAACATTCCACTTCTTTCCCTTAAAAAAATCTTTGGTTGCTTTTGCAGTATACTTTGGGTCATTGTCCATCTGAACTGTGAAGCGGCGTCCAATGAGTTCTGAAGCATTTGGCTGAATAAGAGCAGATAATATTGCCCGAAACACTTCAGAATTCATCCTGCTGCTTTTGTCAGCAGTCACATCATCAATAAATACAAGAGAACCAGTTCCATTGGTAGCTATACATGCCCACGCCATGACACTACCACCACCATGCTTTACTGATGAGGTGGTATGCTTAGGATCATGAGCAGTTCCTTTCCTTCTCCATACTCTTCTCTTCCCATCACTCTGGTACAAGTTGATCTTGGTCTCATCTGTCCATAGGATGTTGTTCCAAAACTGTGAAGGCTTTTTTAGATGTCGTTTGGCAAACTCTAATCTGGCCTTCCTGTTTTTGAGGCTCACCAATGGTTTACATCTTGTGGTGAACCCTCTGTATTCACTCTGGTGAAGTCTTCTCTTGATTGTTGACTTTGACACACATACACCTACCTCCTGGAGAGTGTTCTTGATCTGGCCAACTGTTGTGAAGGGTGTTTTCTTCACCAGGGAAAGAATTTTTCTGTCATCCACCACAGTTGTTTTCCGTGGTCTTCCGGGTCTTTTGGTGTTGCTGAGCTCACTGGTGCGTTCCTTCTTTTTAAGAATGTTCCAAACAGTTTGTTTTGGCCACGCCTAATGTTTTTGCTATCTCTCTGATAGGTTTGTTTTGTTTTTTCAGCCTAATGATGGCTTGCTTCACCGATAGTGACAGCTCTTTGGATCTCATCTTGAGAGTTGACAGCAACAGATTCCAAATGCAAATAGCACACTTGGACCTTTTATCTCTGGACCTTTTATCTGCTCATTGTAATTGGGATAATGAGGGAATAACACACACCTGGCCATGGAACAGCTGAGAAGCCAATTGTCCAATTACTTTTGGTCCCTTAACAAGTGGGAGGTACATATGCAAACTGTTGTAATTCCTACACCGTTCACCTGATTTGGATGTAAATACCCTCAAATTAAAGCTGACAGTGTGCAGTTAAAGCACATCTTGTTCGTTTCATTTCAAATCCATTGTGGTGGTGTATAGAGCCAAAAATGTTAGAATTGTGTCGATGTCCCAATATTTATGGACCTGACTGTATGTCAATAGATTAAATAGCACCCTCCTGAGTAGGTGCTAGGTTTAGATCGTTAGCTTTAGTTTGGGTTTTGGTAAATTTGGTGTCACACTGTATTCAGTGTGAGTGTAAATATTTGTTAGGGAAAAGCATAGTTAGCTCACTGTAATGAGTGAGATGCAGGAGCAGACTGACCATTTGGAAACTCGGGCACTGCCCGAGGGTCCGGGGGTCAGTAAGGGGCCCCATGAGATGCCCCTGGTACCTTTTTCATAGGCTTTTTTGAGTTTGGGCAAGGACACAGGGGCCCCATGATCCCCTATTGCCCGGGGGCCTCATGAGTTGTCAGTCCGCCCCTGGTGAGATGTGATAATTTAGTTAGGTCTGCTCAGTTTGCTCAGCTGCTGCCAGCCTGATAGCTCTCTCTGCATCTAGAAAGCTTGAGACATTTCTGGATGATAGGTGTGGAGTTATGCAGATAGCAGCATGAATATTGATACAGCCTCAGCCTATCCCAGAGAGACTGGCTCTGATGGCATGCTGGTAACTGTAGAAATTCAGTGAGCACACTGGGCTCTGGGTCTTTCCTGCAAAGGGTCGTCCAAGCCTGGGAGAGGGCATGTTGCCTTCCCAGGCAACTACTACCATATGGCCTCAGGTGGGATACCTGAGGGCCTGAATGCTGATACCCGGGTTCTGCTGTGCTGATTAAGGGGCCGTCTACTGAAGATCTGATCTAGTATCACAGAGAAAGGCGTCGAGCTGCTTTTGGGCCTTGTGAGTACAGAGAGTCCTAAAGAATTTTAGAGACTGTGTGCTGTTTAACCCCCTCTGGTGTTAGAGAGTCAGCTGCAGGTCTATCAAAAGGAATACCGACTGGAGTTCTGAAGTGCTTTGTCCACCTGGCCTACCTGCTCTGCTCTTGAGCTCTAAAGTTACTACTACCACTGTTACTAATTCTACTTTGTACTACTGCCTTAAAACTGAAGTCCACTGTTTGATTCAAGCACAGACTCTAATAGAGCTTGTCCTGAAGATTAGATAAAGTCCTCAATGTACATAGTTCCTATTTTTGGAGTATCTCACTCATATCCCTCATCCCTATCCAAATTCTCCAAAAATAAAAAACAACACCCCTACACTGATTTTTGGAAAGACATGTGAATGAGCCTATTACCTGGCTGCAGGGGAAAGTAATTGGGGAGGACCTGGACAGTATTCCTGTGTCTCGTACAGAAGTGGCGCTACAACTATGAGTACAAAATACTGTTTTCTGGGGCAGGGTCAAGACACTCTGCACTCACAATTTTTTCTCTCTTCTGGGTAGAGGGGCACTGAGCAATAATTAACCCGAAAGACTGAGGACATCTTGTGGCAAAGAAGAGGTTTGGATTGAAGGTGAGAATTGCAGCCTGCATTTGGACTCCAAGCCCAAACCCATCACAGGAGTACAGGACATAAAGTATGTGCATTACTACCCCCTTAGGGATTGCTGATGAATTTTGGGTCCCCCTATAGACCTGCACAACCAGTTAGCATTTCCGACACAGCTTTCATCCACAGACAGAAATGAGGCCTTGAGCAACTTCTTATTTTAATAATGTATGAGAAGAGTTCAGGTTCATTGTAAATGAATCTCTGACACCGCAGAGATTATGGAACTTACCATTGCTGATTTGTTTTTGACATTGCAGGCTCAATGCTTCTCCTCCTATCAGTAACATGGCCAGGGGTGCTTAAAACAGAAATCGCCCAAGACTAGAGTTACCTTCTTTCTCTTCCTCTCTCCTAGCCTATTACTATATGGAATTTTAGATTTTTTTTTTAGGTGGTACCCACTCCCACTTCCTTAGTCGTTTGCCTAGGCAAGGATAACACCACCTCTGGCCACCCTCCCCACTCTCAGCCTCCTTGACTAATGTCACACGTCCCAGGAGGCTGTGGGACTACAGCGGGCCTTGTCTTGCGCATGTGCAGCAGGGAGTTGGCTGAGTCAGCCGACTCCCAAAATCCAAGAATATGAGGGGAGAAACTGGAGCCCTATGAATCATCAGCCGCAGGGTAGACTGCACTGGAATGCATGGGCTGGTAAGGATCTGGTTTCCTAAAAGTCAACAGTTACAGGTACTTTAAATTTTCCCAAACCTATATGAATTTCCTCTTTAAAACTCTGACCTTGTATTAGTGGTTTGAAGTACAACTCCAACAGAAACAGTTTTTTTTTGTTTTTTTTTTAATAGATGTGGGTGAACTCTGACAATCTTTCATAGCAATATCTGTCCCAGGTCACTAACTTCTCAGTTGTACCAAATCTCTAGAATTGGGTTATAAAATGCAATTGTGTGTTTAAAAGGAGGGATGGTGTTTGCACTGTTTCCCTGAACAAAAACTGTCACATTTTGAAAAACAACATTTCCCTTGACAAACATTTCCAGCACCAAAACCTTCAAGACCTGTGAGGGTTTATGAAAATCAGTGCAGTCGGCTTTGAGAAGCAGTGTTTACCACTTGTCTACCGCACACTCTCACCCCCTTCCTCCCCAGGCCAATTTTCAGCTTTCAGCGCCGTCGCACTTTGAATGACAATTGCGCGGTCATGCAACACTGTACCCATATGACATTTTTATCATTTTTTTTAGACAGATAGAGCTTTCTTTTGATGGTATTTAATCACCTCTCTTTTTTATTTTTTGCTAAACAAACCAAAAACAACTGAAAATTGTCAAAAACACATTTTTTCTTAGTTTCTGTTATAAAATTTTGTAAATGAGTAATTTTTCGCCTTCACTGATGTGCGCTAATGAGGCTGCAGTGATGGGCACTGATAGGCTGCGCTGATGGACACTGATAGACGGCACTGATGAGGAAGCACTGGTAGGTGGCACTGATGGGCATTGACAAGCATCACTGGTGGGCATTGACAGACATTCACTGATGGGCACTGAAATATAGGCACTGATAGAGGCCATTGATAGGTTTCCCTCACTGTATGGCTTTTGACTGATGGGTCATAGAGGCACTGATGGAATGAGTTGTGAGCACTCTGACTGGCACTGATAGGTGCCCTGACTGGCACTGTTAGGCGGCACTGACTGGAACTGTTAGGCGGCAATGATGGGCAACCACTGATAGGCGGCACTGACTGGCACTGATAGGTGGAACTGACTGGCACTGATAGTTGGCACTGAAAGGCAGCTCAGATGGGCACTGATATGTGGCTTTGATGTGCACTGGTAGGCACTATGTGGGGTCATTGATGTGCACTGATGGGCACTGACAGGTGGCATTGATGGGCACTGACAGGTGGAACTGATGGGGCTACACTGATCATCAGGGTCATCAGGGATGGCTTGCACTGCGTGACAGCTCATAGGAGCGTCACAGCTCATGAGGAAAGGAATGCGGATAACACATTGAACCGGCATTTCCTTATTTACTTGTGATCAGCTGTGATTGGACACAGCTGATCACGACAGAGCCAAAGTCATCAGCTCCTTCTGCTGATCGGAGATCCGCTGTGTCCCAGGGACAGAGTTAGAGTGGGAGGATGTCCTCCCAGAACGAGAGAACCTCCGCGCTTGTGTCATTTCCTTATATGTGTGACCGAAAAATGTATAACTTCAAAAACCTCGCCATGCTTCTCAATACCTTGGACTGTCTACTTTCCAAAAGGGGGGGGGGGCGCATTGGGGGGATATTTGTAAGAAAACGGAAATAGGCACTAATCCTTCATTACTGATAAATGTGACTTATATACAGTATAAATCAATAAAATGTTACCCACAGTTTGATACATCAACCACAAATATTTAGATTGCATACTAAATAAAAAAGTCCCTTAAAATTAACAAGTAAAGTCCCAAACCACCATATTCATGTGGAAATATTAAAGTGATAACTTCTTTTTTACATAAAAGTGCTCCTCCACATGTTAAGGTGAATTGTGCGCTCACAAGTAGTGATGGGCCGAACACCCCCACTCGGTTCGCAGTCAAACATTCGAATGTAACGAAAGATTGACGGCGAACTTCGAACTGGGGCAATTCAGTAAGCGGTATCTTACCGCATCCGAGTATGCTGTAAGATACCACACAGTATTTAAAAAAAAACTACTAAAATACAGCATGAGTTGTTTTATTAAGTCATGGGGTATTTTAGTAGAGAAAATATGTTTTCATGTTTCAGCTGTCAGCGGAAGTACCCGCTGACAACTGAATGTACAAAGAATTGCCGGCAATTAAAAATTTTGAAAAAAAAAAAATGGCTTGGGGTCTCTCCCATTCATACCAAATCCTTCAGGTCTGGCATGGAATTTTAGGGGAACCCCCACGCCAAAATGCAAAAAAAAAAATGGCATGGGGTGTGTTCCTCAAAATCCATATCAAACCCTTATCCGAAGCATGCAGCCCGGTAGGTCAGGAAAGTGGGGGAGAAGTGAGTGCCCCCCCGAACCATACCAAGCTGCATGCTACCAACATGGGGGGGTGCTTTGGGGCAGGGGCAGCTTCTCCCCCAAAGCACATTCTCCCCTTGTTGATGGGGACAAGGGCCTCTTCCGCACAACAGTGGCGTGGGGGTCTGTGGATGGGGGCTTATCAGAATCTGGAAGCCCCTTTAACAAGAGGACCCCCAGATCCCTCCCCCCATATGAATGAGTATGGGGTACATGGTACCGCTACTCATTCACAAAAGAAAAAAGTATAGTGTAAAAAATAACAGAAGACAGTCTTTAACCACTTCCCTGCCGCCCTATAGCAGATATACTGTACAGGGCAGCAGGGGTGCGCAAAATCACATATACGTATATATATATATATATATATATATATATATATATATATATATATATACATGATTTTGCATTTTCGCATTTCCGGGTAGGGGGTGCGCACCCTACCCGTTCCGCCATTCACAGCTGTGGCTGTCAATCACTGGGTCCCAGTCGTAAATTAACCGTCGGCACCCGGTGATTATCATGCATCTCCGACGGGGAGAAGGACTGTTTTGTTTACTAACAGTCTTCCTCCCTGTTGGCTCGGGCACACTGCTCATCCAGAGCAGTGTGCTTACAGTGAAGCACACACCCCGCCCCTAGTAAAACACTCCCTACATATAGTTAACCCTTTGATCGCCCCTCATAGTAACCCCTTCCTGCCCATTGCCAGTAGTACAGTATCAGTGCTTTTTTTTAGCCTTGATCACTGTATTGGTGTCACTGGGGATGTCAGTGACACCAAGTCAGTTCCCCCCAATGTCAAAATATCCGCCACAGTCCTGCAGTCTCGCTGATCGCTGCCATTACTAGTAGAAAAAAAACCCAGTATCTATACAGCCATTTGTAAACACTATAACTTTCACGTAAACCAATTAATTTACACGTATTGGGATTTTTTTTAGCAAAGACATGTTGCAGAATACATTTTGGTGTAAATTTATGATGAAATTTAATTTTTTTATTTTTTTACTGGACATGTTTAATAGCAAAATGTCCAAAATATTGTTTTTTTCTCAAAATTGTCAAGCTTTTTTTTATAGTGCAAAAAATAGAAAATGCACAGGCGATCAATTACCAGTGAAAGAAAGCTCAATTTGTGGGAAAAAAAGGACGTAAATTTCATTTGGATGCAGCGTTGCATGACCGCGCAATTGTCAGTTAAAGTAATTCAGCACTGTAATGCAAAAAATGGCCTGGTCAGGAAGGGGGTAAATCCTCTAGAGGGCAAATGGTTAACAAGTCTTTTATTAAAAACAAAAATAAAAATAATGTCCTCTGCAGTAGATCCAACGTCAGTCATGATCACTGCTGCCACCACCAACCTGAAAAAAAAAAACTCTGCTCTCAATGCTGGCTCCTACTATCTGACTGCTCCGCCAGCCTGACAGTTCTTAAATGTCTAAGGAGCGGGGGCCACCCGGAGACGTCAACCGGGTTACCCCTGCCCCCCTTGTGATGTCATCATGTGCTGTGATTGGCCAAAGGATTGCACCTGACCTGTGGTCAGGTGCATGCTTTGGTAAGTCACAGTGCACTGTCAGAGCACAGTGAATTGTGGGCCGCAGTGGGCGAACAGTCTGCTGAATGCCCTTGCCGTTTGTGCGTTCAGCGAACACACAAACAGCCGATGTTCGAGTCGAACTTATGTTTGACTTGAACATCAAGCCCAACACTACTCACCAGATGGGTTTGGCCAAGAAAACAGCCAACAAGCATCAGATGTCAGATCCTAAACATGGAATGTCAGCTCCTCTACGTGGAAATCCACAAGATAAACAGTTCCTATTATAAATACTCATTCACTCAACAAGGAGTATGATTAAATACCAAAGAAAACATCCATAGTGTAGTAGGTTTTATTAAATAGAGAGAATTGTAAATTAAAATCAATACACTCACATAGCGCCGGTGCCAGTAGGGGCACCAACACAAACAGCTCACTAAGGGGGGATCCTCTCTGTCTCAATACCACTTATATCCAGAGAGCTGGCATGCGTTCCAGGCAAGCATTGTATTGATTTATATATGTCACATTTATCGATAATGAAGGGCTAGCGCCTATTTCTGTTTTCTTGCAATTAATGTTTTAACACTTAAAAGTGCCAGCTGCCTTTTAGATATTCACACTTTTTACAGCATATGTAGAGTTGTTCTCTTTTTTGTTATATTGGCTGGCTGGCGCCCTCTTATGGTTATTGGTGGATATTTGTACTGTCCTGGCGTTTTCGGGCTTCAAGAAATGGGATAGGCCGTCAGTACATCAGGGCTGACCAATTTTCAGATATACAGTCATGGCCAAAAATAATGGCACCCCTTCATTTCTGTCAGATAATGCACCACTTCAACCAGAAAATTGTTGCAATTACAAATGTTTAGGCATTCTCTTGTTAATTTTTTTTGTTTGTATTGGTATGACACAAAAAAGTGGAGAAACAAAAAGCCAAATCTGACACATTCCATGCAAAACCCCAAAAATGAGCTGGACTAAATTATTGGCACCCTCAATTTAATATTTGAGAGCACACCCATTGGAAAAAATAACTGAAATCAATCATTTCCTGTATCCATCAAGTTTTTTTATACCTCTCTACTGGAATTATTGACCACTCTTCTTTCGCCAACTGCTCCAGGTCTCTCAGATTGGAAGGGTTCCTTTTCCCAACTGCTGTTTTGAGAGCTTTCCACACAGGTGCTCTATGGGATTGAGATCTGGACTCATTGCTGGCCAGTTCAGTACTCTCCAGTGCTTTGTCTCAAGCCATTTCTGGGTGCTTTTTGGCATGTGCTTTGGGCCATTGTCCTACTGAAAGACCCATGACCTCTGACGGAGACCCAACTTTCTGACACTGGGCCCTACATTGCACCCCAGAATTCTTTGGTTGTCTTTAAATTTCATAATGCCATGCACAAGGTCAAGGCATCTAGTGCCTGAAGCAGCAAAGCAACCCCAAAACATCAGTGAACCTCCACCATGTTTGACTGTATTGTTTTCTTTAAAGGCCTCATTTCTTTTTTTTTTAAACATTAGAATGACGGGCTTTACCAAAAAGCTGTCTTGTTGTTTCCTCTGTCCACAACACATTGTTCCAATAGGATTTTGGCTTCCTCAGGTAAGTTTTGGCAAACTCCAATATTTATTATTATTATACAGTATTTAAAGGGTTTGCTCAGCGCTGTACAGTAGCAAGGGGGACAGAACATGAGACAAGACAGTAACAATACAATACACAAGGGGTTCGAGGGCCCTGCTCTTTCGAGCTTACAATCTAGGAGGGAGGGTAAGGTGGTACAGGAGGAAATGGCTGTGGGAGGAGTGGAGGAGGTTAGTTGTTAGGTGAGGTCAGGTGTTAGGTGAGGTTGGGGTAGGCTTCCCTGAAGAGGAGGGTTTTCAGGGTGCACCTGAAGGTGAGGAGAGTAGGTGACAGTCTGATGGATTGGGGTAGGGAGTTCCAGAGGATGGGGGAAGTCCTAGAGAAGTCCTGCAATCGGCGTGGGAGGAGGAGACCAGGGAGCTAGAGAGTAGGAGGTCCTGTGAGGAGCGGAGGGCACGGGTAGGGTAGTATTTGGGTATCAGGTCAGTTATGTAGTTTGGGGCGGTGTTGTAGGTCAGAGTTAGCAGTTTGAATTTGATGCGTTGGGCAATTGGGAGCCAATGAAGGGATTGACAGAGGGGG